TTCTTTCTCTCATCTCTTTTTCCTATCTAATAGCCAGGAAGGACCAGTCCTTGGAGAAGAACATCATGCTTGGAAAGGTAGAGGTTCAGTGCAGAAGAGGAAGACCCTAGTTGAGATAGACTGACATAGTGACTGTGACAATGGAGGCAGGTGTGTCAGAGGTGGTGAGGTTGGCTCAGGATAGGGCAAACTGCAGAACCATTGTTCATAGGGCTGCTGTGAGCCACAGTCAACTCCATGGAACATAAGAACAACAACAACATAATAGTTAAGGACATTGGTACATCACTTTCAATATTAGATAGAACATCTGGACTCTTGTAGAACATTCCATCCCAAACAGAAAGATGCATATTCTTCTTTAGTGACATGAGTCATTATTCTGGATAGACCGAGTGATATGTCATAAAACAGTCCCAGTAAATTGAAAAGATTGAGGTCATACACTTGAGTCTTTCTCTGTTGCATATAATGTGGGCTATTACCCCCCCCCCCAAATTCAACAGAGAGAGAATGATAGCTTTCCTTTAAGAGTAGGAACAAGACAAGCATGCCCACACTCATCATTGCTATTCAATTTTATATGGAAATCCTTGAGTAGAACAAGGAAATAAAAAGAAATAAAATTAGGAGGGAGAAAATAGAATTATACTTATTCATAGATGACGTTGTAAAAATAAAATTTTAAGATTTGTTTTATGAAACAAGTTTCTCTCACCAATAACAAAAGTTTTCATCTTGTGGGCACAAACGTCTGCACAATTGGATCAACAATGCCATGATACAGAAAAGATTGAAGTTTTCACTTTACATTAATGCACCATTGATGGTCATTGTATCAACAGTCAAGAAATCAAATAATATATTACATGGAACATATCTGTTGTGGAAGACCTTCTTGAAAAGGAAATATACTGCTTTGAGGAATATGGTGCATCTTATGCAAGCCATGATGTTTTCAATCACTTCACATGCACATGAACACTTGATAATGAATAAGAAAACCAAAGAAGAATTGATGGTTAAAATTATTATGTTGGGCAGTCACGTATGGACACCAAGTAGCCAAAGTGAATTTGTGACTCATAGTGCATCCACAGCCATGGTGAACTTTCTTGTCAGCCATGGGATCAGAGAGGAAGGACCAGCAGCAAGTTGCCCTCTCCATTTCTAGAGGGTTGAGCTCTCCAGCTGAGGCAAGTCTTCCACGAGCTCAGAAACCAGGGAGGTCTTCAGACAGGGTGCATTGCTTTCCCCTCCTTGAGAGCACTGAGCTCTACAGCCAAGGTTGTCAGACTTAGGACCTGCTAGGATCTCTGGTAAGAATAAAATCTATTACAGCAATGACACAGAAGATGTAGACTACCCCACACAAACCAAAGCAAGACATAATGGGAAAAAAAAAGTGATCAAAACAGAATCAATGGATTTCCTGAAGGTGGGAAGTCTCATCAAACTTTCTGTCACTGAATTAAAATAAACAATGGTCAAGTCCTTGGAGAAGGACATCATGTTTGGAAGGGTGAAGGGACAGTACAGGAGAAGACGACCCTGGATGAGATGTGTTGACTCAGTGACTGGGGGTATGGAGGTAGGCGTTTCAGAGAAAATGAGATCGGCTCAGGGTAGGACAGGGTTCAGAGGTATTGTACATTAAGTCACTATGAGTCATTGGCAACTTGACACACACAAAAACAACAAGCAAAAGTGAAGAAGAACTTTGAAAAACCATATAAGACAAAGCATATAAAACCAATGAGACATTAGAAACTGTAGAAAAACAAGAAACAGCAAGGCAGAATATTAGGACCAGTGGCCCAGAACCTGTCAACATGTTGGAGGGATGGATGAGCAGAACTGAAGAGAGAGCACAGAAGCAAAACAGAAGATCAAACTCTCAATACTGATCTGCTAGAGCAAAAAGGCAGAATCAAAAAGGAAGGAAAATGAAGAAAGCCTAAGAATTTTGTGGGGAATTATCAAGAGGTATAACATGTGCATATTTGACATTATAGAAGAAGAAACAAAAAGACAGTGAAAAAAAATTGTGGAAGAGATACTAGAAGAATATTTTCTAAGTATCATGAAGAATGAGAGTATATATATCCAAGAAGCTGAGCAAACCCCACATAGAATAGAACCTGAAAGAAGAACACCAAGGCATATCATACTTATCTTGCCAGAATCAGACAAGGAGAGAATTCTGAAAACAAAGAAAAACAAAGAGCAAATAAGATTAATTTCTCAGTAGAACCATACACTCAAGAAGACAATGGAATGATAGATATCTTACACTCAGAGAACACAACTGATACAATAGGATACAATAACCAGCAAAACTGTCCATCAAATTTGATAGAGAGATCAAGATATTCTGAGAAAAGCAGAAATGAAGGGAGTTAATAAAAATGTAATCAATGTTTCAAGAAATAATAAAGTCTTACAGAGATGTCACAGGAAAATGTATGGGTCAAAGTAAATAGCAACAGCACACAAAACCCCCCAGCAAAATGATGATAATAATAATACAACCTTGCCTCTAAATAAGTACACTGAATGTGAATGGTTTAAATTAAATGCACCAGTGAAGGGGAAAAGAGTAGTAGATTGGATAAAACCCCAAAACCTATCAATATGCTGTTTACAATAGAAATACTTGAAAAACTAAGATAAAGATGATTAAAAATCAAAGGGTGGGAAAAATATACCAAGCAAATGGCAAAAAGAAAAAAGGCAGGAGTAGCAATATTTATCTCTGATAAAATAGACTTCAGGGTAAAAACCATCAGAAATTACAAGGAAGGACACACTATAATACTTAAAGGGTTGACAAACAAGAGGACATAACCATAATAGTATCTAAACCCTGAATTATAAAGCTGCAAAATATACAAAGAAAACACTAACAGAACTGGGAAAAGAATTAGAAAGCACCACAATAGTAGTAGGAGATTTCAATACACCACTCTAAAAAAAAAAAAAAAAGACACACCAACCAAGAAGAAACTCAACAAAGATGCTGAAGAATGAAACTATAAATTTATCCACTTGATCTCATAGATACATACATAGTCTGCTCGACTCAACATCACCTAAAACCATCAACAATGCACCAGAAAGAACCCAAAGAACAAACAGATATGTCTTGGTGAAGGTGAAGCCAGGGTACATCTTGGAGGCAAGGATGGTGAAGCTTTGTCTTGCATACATCAGACATGTTGCTATGAAAAACTATTATTTGGAGGACGTCATGCTTGGAAAGGTGGAAGGACAG